TTTTTTTTTGGTATTCTATTTTTTTTTATAAATTATATTCCCATGTGAAATTATATTATAAATAGGTAATTATTAATAATAAATAACAGAGCAAAAAAAAAATGCAAAATGATAAGTTTTTCGATATTTAAAGAATTAAATGAAATTTTTATTTTTATTGTGAAATTGTAGGAAATAAATATACAACAAAAACAATAAATAAATAACAGAATAACAAGTATGTAGAAATAGCAAGTTTTTTTTTTCTATACTTTTTTTTTAATGGGACTTTTTTTTATGAACCCTTATTATTATTTATCTTTTTCATATGTATGGTTTTTTTTTTTTTTTTTTGGGTTCAATTTTTGTTTGCAGGGGGGTTGAAAGGTGAGACAAAGAAGAAGGTGAGATTTGCCGGAGATGTGATCGCCGGTCGGAATTATTCCGGCGGCAAATCAAGGGCGCCGGCAAAGTCAATGTGCAAAAATGTACACGATGAGAATTTGGAGGCCATGCCCAAAAATTGGCAAGTCATGTACAGGGGTATTTTGAAATATAGGAATCTTAGGGGGGTGTAGCTGATATATTCCTAAACTTTGTTTTTTTATTTTGCTAAAAACAAAAGTAGTTAATTAATTGCAAGGGAGTACTTTTTATTAATTACAATTAGTTAGTAGTACTTAGTAGAAGAAATATGATTTCTCGCTTTTTTTTTTGTTCTTGGTATATAATTAGACTAAAAGTTGGGTATTTTTCTGTATTTATCTTTTTTTTTGTTGTTGGTTATTTATTCTTTGGGGTAAGGGTTAGCAGTCAAATTTGACTATGTCTGATCAAAACAATGTTTTTTGATTGTTGTTTGTAAGAAAATTTACTTATTTTTGACAAATGCATGTTATTAATTATCTGATGAATGTAAAATAAGGGAAATGCTACGATCTCGTCACGGTACCATCTGGTCAGGTATTTTAACCGTTGGATTCACGTGTAGTTAGATAAGATAGATGATTCAACGGTTAAAACACCTGACGGGATGGTACCGTAATGGAACCGTAGCATTTTTCGTGAAAGTAATTATGTTTATATATATTTATCTAATTATTTAATAAAGTTCAATATATTATAAACTGGAAAACTTATTGGACTTGAATCATTGGGCAGTGTAAGGTGGGAACTTGTTGGACTTGAAGTTCTGTTTTATGCTGGCCCATATTGGACCATCTTTGAAAGTTTCTAGATGGGCTGTGTAATTAGTAATGGATCATTCAATAATGGCCCACATATTTACCTGGAACTCAGATTTTATCCCTCTATTTCCCTGTCGTGGTCCTAATTTTTTCCAAAGGTCAACAAATAAAACCAGTCAACTCACAGTACAGTAGGCGGTAAATAGTGGCTATTTTGGCTTTTTACAACAGTAAAAACACGTAGGCCTGCAAATAATATAAACTTTTACGCTGGTTTCCACTTAACGGCAGTTTAAACGTCAAATCAGTCAATTTTATTTATTTATAAAACATATCACTTGAAAATTGAAATGTTTATGTCTTCCCGTGCCAGCTCACGGTTCAACACAGCTCTTGAAAAGCGACGTTATCCCGAGTTGACTCGGAGTCCTATACGGTGCCACGCAATCCTGTTTTCTTTCACGCCCACGGGCCAAACAAAAACACGCGTTTGGGCTTTGGCTCTCGTTATTGACCCAAAAATTCTTAGGTTAGCATATAATAAAATTAAAATAAATAAAGAATATGGAAGATTTTACGGTCTCATTACAAAATTATGTTGTCGGGTTTATAATTATTAAATCAATTATTTACGACGGTTACATAAAGATCTAACAATTATAGATCCCGACGAAATAGTTCCGTAACGAGACTGTAACATTTATCAAAGAATAGTAACTTATTGGTTTTGGTTCAAATAAAAATCAAAATATTTCAATAAAATACGTTTGACATAGGTAGTGGCACTTGGCTGGATTATATCACATGGTATATTGGTAAAATGAACATTAGTTGAATAAATAAACTAATCACATGTTGTAGTGGTTAAGGTATTCTCTAGTTTTATTGTTGACAAGTGTATAAATATGATATCATTCTTTACACGTTTCATTTATCCAACAAAGTGAAACTCGAAATAAAATATGAAATTGGAGCAAAAAATTTCATTCCCTTTCATTTATAATGCAACTTGGCCTGTTTTCATTCCCTTTCATTCCTTTTCATTTACGGAACTATTCCGTCGAAATTTGTAACCATTAGATTAATTATTTCTATTCAAACGGTTACATGGTTATCTAGTGATTACAAACCCCGACAGAATAATTCCGTAATGAACCGTAGCATCTTCCAATAAACTAATCACATGTTATAGTGGTTAGGGTATTCTCTAGTTTCATTTCATTTGATTGTTGACAAGTGTACGAATATGATATCATTGTTTACACGTGTCATTTATCTAACATAATAAAATACTAAATTAATTGGCAAAAAATTTCATTCCCTTTCATTTATAATGCAACTTGGCCCCTTTTCATGCTAGTGACTGGTGATAGAGATGATATACAATGTAATATAAGTATTTTGATAAATTTATTCGATCACTCGACTCAAATTTAATTTTGTTAAAATGCTATATCTATTAAAAAATCACATATATATATATATATATTTATGTTATAATGAATGAAATGAGAACAATATAGTTATAAATATCATTTAGGAATATCTAATTAACTATCAATATAATATATTTATTGATCTTAATAAAGTATATATTTTCACTCATATCTCACTGTAAAAACATATATTTTCACCCATTCTCGCTGTAAACATAACAACCATTTTGAATGGGGTATACAATGGTGTGTTTGTTTATAAATAAAGTCACTCGTACTCAAAATCTAACTCAATCTAACTATTCTCAATATTATTTATGTAATTAAATAATATAAATCAATTATTCTTACACGTCACGTCAATTTTGATCCAGTATTCATCCATTCACATAATTATAACTAATTGTAGTTTCACATCATCTCTATTACTTTCACACCAAATTAACTTTAATTAATTTATTATAAATATTATTCTAATATAAACTCAAAATCTCACTAACAATCAATCATGCCATATTTTTTCAAAATTAAGTACGGTTAAACCAAAAACATTCGTTTTGTTCGAGTGGATGTATTTATATCCAATCACGTCCTAAGTTGAATTGAACTAGAGTTTTTATCCAACAAACTCAATTAACTAGTCTGACCTCGACTGTTTTATCAATACTGACTACTCGAATTGAAATCTTAACAATTTGAACTATAAAAAATTACATAAAAGATTATATATATTTTCCGAGTTTTAACATGACGAACTCGACTCGCTTCGATAGCTAAATGGAATTATAGATTATCAAGTATAGTCAAGTGGAAAAAGATGGTCTCCATATATTTGACACCATTTATAAATACAAATATGAAACTCACTCCCCACCACTATTTATTCAACTCACACAAAATCTCTCTCCCTCTCTCCCCTCCCAATCTCCTCTCCTCCATGCCAATGGCTTACATTAATTAGATTTTTCTTAATTAATAGATAAAAGAAAAATAAAATAAAAAAACCCCGCCGGAGCCGGCGAGCAAGTGAGAAATTCCACAACTGTCCCTACTTTGCCGGGGACTCTTCACTTTTCCATTAATCCCCCAAAAACACACACACACACACACAAAAAGAGGCTAAACACACATTAATTGATCCCTTCTCCGCCCGCGCATTTTAGCCTCGGCCGCCGTCCTTCCCATCCTTCCGCCGCCGTCCGGCCATGAAGATTCTCCAGGTAACGCCGTCCGAATCGAAATATCTTAATTTTTGCGCGGCCGATTTTCAATTTCCATAATCTATATGTTTCTCTACAGGCGGAGGCTGCGATTTTTTTTCCGGCGTGCAATAGCTTGTCCGTGAAGAAAACATTATAACTGTAATATAAAATAATCCTATTCAAATATTTTATTAATTAATTAGGGTTTCAAAAGGGGGGGAGGGAGAATCAGAATACAGGGGAACGGATGACGAGGCCGGTCGTTCTGCAGCCACCGGCGTCGGTGGATCGGCGGCAGCCGCTCCTCGGCGCCTCGGGGCGGGGGAGGAAACCGCGGCTGGGGGAGGTCGCCGGGGGGACGGCGGCGGAGTGCGCGGCGGTGTGCTGCTGCTGCCCCTGCGCCCTGCTCAAACTCCTCGTGCTGGGGCTGTACAAGCTGCCGGCGGGGATCTGCCGGAGGGCGAGGAGGAGGAAGCGCCGCCGCAGGATGCTGGAGGCGGGACTGCTGCCGCCGCGTGGGTGCGGCGGCGGCGGTGGCGGCGGTGGAGTTGATTTCCCGGCGATGGATGCCGGAGAGGATGTCGGGACGGAGGGGAGGGAGGCGGCCGACGAGCTGGACAGGGAGATGATGGAGAGGTTCTACAGCGGAGGCTTCTGGCGGAGCTCTTCCCGGAGAAACGAAGTCGAGGCACAGTGAAATAATAGGGAGATTAGTAATTAGTAAATAATAGTTACTAATTACCATTATTATTTTACTGTGTTGGTAAAAAAAAAACACTTAGCTAAACAAAATGTTTATTGAATGTTGTCTTTCATAGTGCAATGCTTACTACAAATGATGTTAGTCAAATTTTGATTAATTTTTCATACTAATAATCACTCCCACCATAATTAATTATTATGTCACAATTGAATAAACCCATAATGCTTTTAACTCTCTACATTCAAACTAAATAAATCTTAATCATGATTACATTTAGTGTGGGACTCTTCAATTTAGCTTCTAATACTAAGGTTCAAGTCTTTATCAAGTTGAGTCGAGATAAACTTTGCCGACAAAACATGTTTGATGTCGCCTCATTTATCAATATCAGACGAGTTCAACTCAAACCTTAATAAGCAGAAATAAGATAAAATTTCAATAATTACGTTAAAAAAAATATATATCTTTTCTGGAGTCATAAATGAACGAGATTTAAATGAGTTTGAGCTCAGTTCGTTTCCACCGAGCAAAAACAAATCTTACGAACGACTCGTTTCATTTAGCAGTTGCGATGAAAGCATTAGAAGAAGGGGTCATAGGAAGTACTTTTTTTTTTTAGGTAAAAAAAAAAAATGTGGGTTTCATT